CCTCCACCCCCACCGCCACCCCCACTCCCCCCGCCGCCCCCACCTCCTCCGCCACCGCCCCCGCTAGCTTCACCCGCTCCCTTGCCCCCCTTGCTCCTACCAGAGCGGCGCCTACCGTTGGGGGCAGACGCCGCACCAACCGACTCTAAACCAACGAGGTCGGCCGCAGCAGCAGAGGCGACAGAGGGTAACAGGGGGGAAGGAGAACACCCCTCAAAGATGGGGGTGCGCGGGTCACCACGAGAGGCCCCTACAGCGACTATGCTCTTCTCGTCCGCTAGCAGGGACTTCTCGAGGAGGTCGACAGTGAGGGTGGTGGGACAGACAGAGAGAAACTGGTCCCTAACAGCACGAAGGGACTCAGGGAGACGGGTGACTAGAAAGTAGAGGGTGATGTACATGGGAGGGGGGTTTTCAGCGAGGAAGGCAGCAGGAAGCGCAGCTCGGTAGCGAGTGTCACTAGCGCGAAGGTGGGTAAAGAGGTCAGTGACTGTGGGAAAGGCAGCAAGGTCAGGGAAGAGGTACGGTAGCATGAGGCGGCTAAGCGTAGCGGAGGAAGGGGAGGAGTAGCGCGCAACTACAGCGTCGTACAAGGCCTGAGCGGTCTTGCACTGACTAAAGTGCGCACGCTCGGAGGAAGGGAGGTGGCGACGCACAGCAAGACGTGCAGCAGCATCACGTGTGGCCCACTTGGAGCGAACAGTGGGGTCAGCATCAGCAGGAGGGGCAGGGACAGCGCCAGAGAAAAAGTCAAAGAGAGAAACCTCATCTATCGCATCGCACAGTAAGTACAGCTGCAGGTCCTCGACCCAGACTGCAAAGTCAATGGCGCGACCCTCAGCATCAAAAGCCACGACACTGGGGGTGGCCATTATAGCAACTGACAGTCTCACCGAGCAGGAATAGTCGGGTAGCTCAGTAGCACAGCAGCACAGCGGCTGCGCCGGTCCAGGAGTAGCAGCAGCCCCACAGAAGCAGGAGCTCGGCACCGAAGATTGCGCGAGCGGCTCGGGCGGCTCGGGCGGCTCAGGCAGCTCGGGCGGCTCGGGCGGCGCGAGCGTCTCGCGGGCAGCGCACGGGTGACTGCACGAGCGGCCGGGGCGGGTCACGGGCGGCGCGCGGGCGGCTCACGGGCGGCTGGGGCGGCTCACGGGCGGCTGCACGGGCGGCTGGGGCGGCTCGCGGGCTGCCCGTGGGTGGCTCGCGGGCTGGGCATGGGCGGCGCGGGCGGCGCACGGGCGGGTGGGTGGCTCGCGGACGGGCGGCGCACGGGCGGGCGGCGCACGTGCGGGCGGCTCACGGGCGGGCGGCGCCAGCGGCTGACGGGCGGGCGGCTCACGAACGGGTGGCGCCAGCGGCTAACGGGCGGGCGGCTCACGGACGGGCGGCGCCAGCGGCTTACGGCCGGGCGGCGTACGGACGGGAGGCGCAAGCGGCGCACGGGCGGGCGGCTCACGGGCGGGCGGCTCCAGCGGCTCACGGGCGGGCTGGTGGCGCACGGGCGGGCGGCTCACGAGCGGCGCCGGCTCACGGTCGGGCGGCGCGGGTGGGCGGCTCACGGGCGCTAGGGCGGGCGCCGGGCGCTAGGGCGCTAGGGCTGGCACTAGTGCGGGCGCTAGGGCGGGCGCTAGGGCGGGCGCTAGGGCGGGCGCAAGGGTGGGCGCTAGGGCGCGAGAGCCCTAGGGCAGGAAAAAAAAAATCGAAGTGGTGGGCCCTAAGCAAAGTTCCCACAGGGGAACCTGCTCGTTACCATGAGAAGAAGTGAACGAGAGAATGAATGAACTATGAATGAAGTGAGTACAAATAGGAAACCCTAGTTGGGTTGTACCCCCTATGGGATACCCCACTATAGCCTACACAAATAAGTAAGCTATAATATTCTGACAAGTCTGGCCGGCATTTCGCACTTATAGTGCAAGTGGGGCCAGGGAGAACGGAAACGCTCGTTTCTCAAAAAGTAGAGGGAATCTAGCGGTCTCACTCGATCAGAAGGTGGGAAACATATAAATCTAGTGAGCTAATAAGGTTCGAAAGGAATCTAATGCATATGTATATGGAAAATGGTGCATTGGCCAGGTCGGTCAGTATGGGAACTTAGAGTGCAAATGCCTGAGAGAACGGAACCGCTCAGATCTCGCATAGTATACGGAATCTAGTGGTCTCACTCAAATATAAGGTAGGAAATATATTAATCGAGTGAACGTAAGGGTTTGAAAGGTAACTAACGCACATGTGTAGAGAAAATGGTGCATCGGCCAGTCTGGCCGGCATTTCGCACTTATAGTGCAAGTGGTGCCAGGGAGAACGGAAACGCTCGTTTCTCAAAAAGTAGAGGGAATCTAGCGGTCTCACTCGATCACAAGGTGGGAAATATATAAATCTAGTGAGCTAATAAGGTTCGAAAGGAATCTAATGCATATGTATATGGAAAATGGTGCATTGGCCAGGTCGGTCAGTATGGGAACTTAGAGTGCAAATGCCTGGGAGAACGGAACCGCTCAGATCTCGCATAGTACACGGAATCTAGTGGTCTCACTCAAATAAAAGGTAGGAACTATATTAATCGACTGAACGTAAGGGTTTGAAAGGTAACTAACGCACATGTGTAGAGAAAATGGTGCATCGGCCAGTCTGGCGGGCATTTCGCACTTATAGTGCAAGTGGGGCCAGGGAGAACGGAAACGCTCGTTTCTCAAAAAGTAGAGGGAATCTAGCGGTCTCACTCGATCAGGAGGTGGGAAATATATAAATCTAGTGAGCTAATAAGGTTTGAAAGGAATCTAATGCATATGTATATAGAAAATGGTGCATTGGCCAGGTCGGTCAGTATGGGAACTTAGAGTGTAAATGCCTGGGAGAACGGAACCGCTCAAATCTCGCATAGTACACGGAATCTAGTGGTCTCACTCAAATGTAAGGTAAGAAATATATTAATAAATTGAACGTAAGGGTTTGAAAGGTAACTAACACACATGTGTAGAGAAAATGGTGCATCGGCCAGTCTTGCTGGCATTTCGCACTTATAGTGCAAGTGGGGCAAGGGAGAACGGAAACGCTCGTTTCTCAAAAAGTAGAGGGAATCTAGCGGTCTCACTCGATCAGGAGGTGGGAAATATATAAATCTAGTGAGCTAATAAGGTTCGAAAGGAATCTAATGCATATGTATATGGAAAATGGTGCATTGGCCAGGTCGGTCAGTATGGGAACTTAGAGTGCAAATGCCTGGGAGAACGGAACCGCTCAGATCTCGCATAGTACACGGAATCTAGTGGTCTCACTCAAATATAAGGTAGGAAATATATTAATCGAGTGAACGTAAGGGTTTGAAAGGTAACTAACGTACATGTGTAGAGAGAATGGTGCATCGGCCAGTCTGGCCGGCATTTTGCACTTATAGTGCAAGTGGGGCCAGGGAGAACGGAAACACTCGTTTCTCGAAAAGTAGAGGGAATCTAGCGGTCTCACTTGATCATAAGGTGGGAAATATATAAATCTAGTGAGCTAATAGGGTTTGAAAGGAATCTAATGCATATGTATATGGAAAATGGTCCATTGGCCAGGTCGGTCAGTATGGGAACTTAGAGTGCAAATGCCTGGGAGAACGGACCCGTTCAGATCTCGCATAGTACACAGAATCTAGTGGTCTCACTCAATATAAGGTAGGAAATATATTAATCGAGTGAACGTAAGGGTTTGAAAGGTAACTAATGCACATGTGTAGAGAAAATGGTGCATCGGCCAGTCTGGCGGGCATTTCGCACTTATAGTGCAAGTGGGGCCAGGGAGAACGGAAACGCTCGTTTCTAAAAAAGTAGAGGGAATCTAGCGGTCTCACTTGATGAGAAGGTGGGAAATATATTAATCTAGTGAGCTAATAAGGTTTGAAAGGAATTTAATGGATATGTATATGGAAAATGGTGCATTGGCCAGGTCGGTCAGTATGGGAACTTAGAGTGCAAATGCCTGGGAGAACGGAACCGCTCAGATCTCGCATAGTACACGGAATCTAGTGGTCTCACTCAAATATAAGGTAGGAAATATAATAATTGAGTGAACGTAAGGGTTTGAAAGGTAACTAACGCACATGTGTAGAGGGAATCTAGCGGTCTCACTTGATGAGAAGGTGGGAAATATATTATTCTAGTGAGCTAATAAGGTTCGAAAGGAATCTAATGCATATGTATATGGAAAATGGTGCATTGGCCAGGTCGGTCAGTATGGGAACTTAGAGTGCAAATGCCTGGGAGAACGGAACCGCTCAGATCTCGCATAGTACACGGAATCTGATGGTCTCACTCAAATATAAGGTAGGAAATATATTAATCAATTGAACGTAAGGGTTTGAAAGGTAACTAACGCACATGTGTAGAGAAAATGGTGCATCGGCCAGTCTGGCCGGCATTTCGCACTTATAGTGCAAGTGGGGCAAGGGAGAACGGAAACGCTCGTTTCTCAAAAAGTAGAGAGAATCTAGCGGTCTCACTCGATCAGAAGGTGGGAAATATATAAATCTAGTGAGCTAATCAGGTTTGAAAGGAATCTAATGCATATGTATATGGAAAATGGTGCATTGGCCAGGTCGGTCAGTATGGGAACTTAGAGTGCAAATGGCTGGGAGAACGGAACCGCTCAGATCTCGCATAGTACACGGAATCTAGTGGTCTCACTCAAATATAAGGTAGGAAATATATTAATCAATTGAACGTAAGGGTTTGAAAGGTAACTAACGCACATGTGTAGAGAAAATGGTGCATCGGTCAGTCTTGCCGGCATTTCGCACTTATAGTGCAAGTGGGGCAAGGGAGAACGGAAACGCTCGTTTCTCAAACAGTAGAGGGAATCTAGCGGTCTCACTCGATCAGGAGGTGGGAAATATATAAATCTAGTGAGCTAATCAGGTTTGAAAGGAATCTAATGCATATGTATATGGAAAATGGTGCATTGGCCAGGTCGGTCAGTATGGGAACTTAGAGTGCAAATGGCTGGGAGAACGGAACCGCTCAGATCTCGCATAGTACACGGAATCTAGTGGTCTCACTCAAATATAAGGTAGGAAATATATTAATCGAGTGAAGCCAGGAAGCCATCTCTGCATCCATAGCTGCCTGCCACTGAGAGGAGTAGGGACCCTCTACGGCCTCCGCGTAAGAGCGCGTAGTCGGGATGTCAAGTGCATCCGGGTCTCCCTCAGGGGCAAGCAGTACAGACGCGAGATGAGGTGAAGCAGCAGCCAGACACTGGAACTTCTCCTGCCTGTCCTCAAGGACGTCCGTGCCAAGAGCACACTCACCCGCGGCAAACGGAGGACAGACAGATGCAGACTCAGCAACAAGACTAGCAGCGTAGTCTAGGCGACAGCGAGCAGCAAAGTCGACGAGCTCAGTAACCAGAGCAGACGCAGCAGAGGACTCAAAAGAGGGGTCAGTGACGACAGTAGCAAGAAGACGCGTGACAGTACGACTGGCAGCGCGAAGAGAGTCCGACTCCCGGTCGGTAAGCGCAGGAAGAGAGGACGCAGGAGGAGAAGGCAAAGGGGCATGCAGGGGAGCAGTAGACGGACACAGAGACATCCGGTGCGTGCCAGGGACAGGACGAGGACACTGACGCAAACCGCGACCACTAGAGCGAGCAGCACGAACAGGCGACGTGGGACGTGACACAGGCTCACGACGCTCAGCAAGACCTCTAGTAGGACCAGCGTAGGGAGAAGGAGCAGGGAGAGAGGAGGCCGGCGGTAACTGTGACTGTGACTGGACAAGGGAGGAGGAAGACCAAGAACCTGCTGAAGGAGCGGAACGAAGTACGGCCGAGGCCGCGCCGCGACTCGAGACACAGCAGGGACAGCACCAGCACCCTCAGCGGCAACACCAGCACCGCCAGCACCAGCACTACCCGCAGCAGAACCACCGGCAGGACCAACAGCAGTAGCCTCTGTGCAAACACCCTCCGCAGGACGAGCACCAGTCATACCCGCAGGTATAGCAGCTCCAGCACCCTCAGCGGCCGAAGAAACTCCAGCCCCAGCAGTACGCCTCCAGCGCCGGGCAAACCACTCGCGCAGCTCCTGTGGAGAGAGTGGCTCCCGCCGAGACGAAGCACCGAGAGGACCACCAGGCCCAGCACCGCTAGACGGCACACAAGCAGGTCCAGCGGCCGCGGGCTCCGCACTCCCAGGCTCAGCAGGTTTTGACTCAGTACCCCCAGGCTCAGCAGCTCCAGACGTAGCAACCCCAGGCAAAGCAGCTCCAGACTCAGCACCTCTAGACGCTGGACTCCCAGGCTCAGCACCCCCAGGCGCAGCACCCCCAGGCTCAGCACCCCCAGACACAGCACCCTCAGGCTCAGCACCCGAAGTCGCAGTACCCTCAGGCTCAGCACCCACGCGCGCAGCACCCCTAGACCCGGCACCCCCACGCACAGCACCCGTAGCAGTACCAGAGTCACCAGCAACCTCGACTGGCTCGACCGCGTCTACCTGGGACACACCTGAAGGGGCAGGACCCTGAGGGGGTAGGGGGTCTACTGGGGGAGGACCTGGTACCAGGAAGTGCGGAGGCGGGGGGAGGGACGGAGTGCGGTATGGGAAGAGGCGTTAGAAGGGGACGGATTCGTTGAACGTGACGTCCTAGGAGGACAGAACACGACGAGAGGCGGGGTGGTAGAACTGCCACCCTGGCGCGTCATAGGGGAAGCCAAAGAAGACACAGGGAGCAGCACGAGGGGACACCTTGTCCGCAGACAAGTCGCAGACAAACGCCCGAGATCCCCAGACATGGAACTCAGACGCATCGCCGACCTTCCCCGTCCACAGCAAGGCTGGGGAGGTCTCCGGCCGGGAGACCCTGGGGTGAAGGTTGAGCTGATGCGCCGCGTACCGAACCGCAAACGGCCACAGAAAATGGGGGGTAGCCGCATGCATCATGGACGTACGAGCGACGTCCATGACCATGCCGATGCGGCGCTCAGCAATCCCATTCGGCTGCAGAGAGTCCGGAAGAGTCAAGGTCTGGCGGATGCCTCGTGCACGATAGTAGGCTCGCAGAAGGACAGAGGAGAACTCTCCACCTCGGTCAGAGTGCAGACGCAGAACAGGAAAGTCCGAGCCGAAGCTCCTCCTGAGCTGGAGACGAGCTGCGCTGATCCAGTCGATCAACACCGCAGTGACATCACCCTTGCTGCGCAAGGGGAAGACCGTGGTGTAACGCGAGTAGTCGTCAACCACCAGCAGGAAGTAGCGCTCGTGACCCTGTCCACGGACGCGGGCCGGGCCCCACACGTCCATGTGAAGCGTCTGCAGAGGAGCCTCTGTCGGGGGAAACTGGGAGGAGTGAGGGGCCGCCCGGAGCCGCCCCTCGACAGAGGGGACACAGGAAGGTCCTGGCCCCGAAGGAAGGGGAGGGAGAGACTGAGGAAGACCAGAAACAATAACACGGGAAGCCATGCCCCGAAGACGCGGCAAGGAGGGGTGGCCCAGACGGTGGTGCCACAGGAGAGTCTCGTGAGAAAGGAGGCGACACGAGCAGGGGGCACACTCAGGACCAGACCAGGACGCAGCAGCAAATACCTGACCCGACGCAGCTACCTGGCCAGACGCAGGGACAGGAGGAGACTCTGTGGTCAGGGTGTAGAGACTCGACCCCGGCCGACGCGAGAACGTGGCCAGGTGTCGGCCTGTGCGGGCGTCCGAGCAGTGGGTCACCCGCTGATTCGCAGGAGTAAACTGGTGAACCCCCGCATCCTGCAGGTCAGCACCACTCACCAAGTTCGTCGAGAACGAGGGGAGGTACAGACCAGACAGAGTGCCCGAGGGGGCAGCCGGACACGGGAGGACAGTGGAGAAGTGAGAGAGGACAGGACCCCCAGAGGGGTCCGCCAGGAAGACTGCAACCGGCCGACCAAGCGGCGTGAGTGTGGTGCGGTCTCGAAAGAAGGAGCGAGAAGCCCCGGAGTCAAGTGTGAAGGTGAGGGTGGCCGAAGCCGACGCAGTACCTGAGAGCGCAGCCTCACCAGTACCTGAGAGCGCAGACGCACTGGCACCTAGAGCAGCAGCCTCACAAGCACCTAGCGCAGCAGTACCAATGCCCGGGTCGGGCGGGAAACACCGGTAACAGTCACCCTCATCACTAATAGTCACAGCATACATGGCAGCAAGGATAGCATCAAAGTCAAGATCAAAGATAGCTACGCCAGCCCTAGATAGCTCTCCCCAGCGGGGAATCTCACTAGCCTTGGGGAACTGCTGACGCCAAGCATCCGTCAGGCGGCCAAAGCAGCGCTGAGTGGAGTGGGCACCCCCACACTGCTCACCCGCGCGGTCGCCGGAACTGAGGACGTAGGTGCAGGGACCAAAGCCCCCAGGACGCTGACGCTGCGTGTACCACTCACGGAGCTGCTGAGGCGGGGGGATGTCCCGAGAACGCTGCTGCTGCTGCTGCTGCTGCTGCTGCTGCTGGCGCTGACCTCCACCAGAGCCGCTCCGCTGCGGGGCACCACCCCGACCAGCTCCACCCCCTCCGCCACCACCGCCTCCACCTCCGCCACCACCGCCGCCTCCGCCTCCGCCACCACCGCCGCCACCACCGCCTCCGCCTCCGCTGCTGCCACCACCACCGCCACCCCCGCCACCACTCCCACCGCCACCCCCACTCACTCCACCCGCTCCACCGCCACCTCCACCGCCCCCGCCAGCTCCACCCGCGCCCTTGCCCCCTTTGCGCTTACCAGGGCGGCGTCTCCCGCTAGGGGCAGACGCCGCGCCGACCAACTCAAGGCCAAGCAGGTCGGCGGCAGCGGGAAAGGCATCAGAGGGCAGCAGGGGGGAAGGAGAACACCCCTCAAAGATGGGTGTGCGAGGGTCACCACGAGAAGCTCCTATAGCGACGATGCTCTGCTCCGCTGCCAGGAGGGCCTTCTCGAGGAGGTCAACAGTGAGAGTGGTGGGACAGACCGAGAGGAAGTGGTCCCTGACTACGGGAAGGGAGTCAGGGAGGCGGGTGACTATGTAATAGAGAGAGATGTACATAGGGGGGGGGTTCTTGGCGCAGAACTCAGCAGGAAGCGCGACGCGGTAGTGAGTGTCACTAGTGCGGAGGTGCGTAATGAGGTCAGCGACTGTGGGAAAGGAAGCAAGGTCAGGAAAGAGGTACGGTAGCATGAGGCGGCTGAGTGCAGCAGTGGCAGGGGAAGAGTAGCGCGCAACTACAGCGTCGTACAAGGTCTGAGCACTCTTGTACTGACTAAAGTGCGCGCGCTCAGTGGTAGGGAGGTGGCGACGCACAACAAGACGTGCAGCAGCATCACGGGTGGCCCACTGAGAGCGAACATTGGGGTCAGCATCAGCAGCAGGGGCGAGAGAGGCGCCAAAGGTGAGGTCAAAGAGAGACAGACCGTCCGCCCTATCGCACTGTAAAAACAGCTGCAGGTCGTCGACCCAGACCTCAAAGTCAATGGCACGACCCTCAGCGTCAAAAGCGAGGACACTAGGGGTGGCCATGACGACAGACTAGCAGTGCAAGCAGTGGGGGGGAAGGGCACGCAGTAGCAGTGGGGCTGTGCTCACCAGACAGGGCAGGTCGGGCGGCTCGGCAGTAGAGCGGCTCTGCTGCGGGGCGGCTTGGCGGCTGGGCTGCTCGGCGGCTCGGCGGCTGGCTGCTGGGCAGCTCGGCAGTACTGCGGCTCGGCGGCTCGGCGGCTCGGCTGCTGGGCGGCCCGGCTGCTGGGCGGCTCGGCTCCTCCGGTACACGGTGGCGCGGCGGGCGGCTGCTCGGGTGCACGCTGCAGGGTGGTGCAGTGGGCGGCGGCTCGGGTGGCGCGGCAGGGGAGGAGAGCGGCGGGGCCGCTATGGAAGGGCGGCGGAGCCGCGTGAGCAGGGCGGCGAGGCCGCAAAGCAGGGAGGCGGGGCCGCTTAGCCGAGGGCGGCGGGGCCGTGGTAGCAGCGCGGCGGGGCCGCGACGGAAGGGCGGCGGGGCTGCTAAGGAAGGGAGGCGGGGCCGCGAAGTGCAGGGCGGCGGGGCCGCTGAAGGAAGGGCGGCGGGGCCGCGAGGTGCAGGTCGGCGGGGCCGCTGAAGGAAGGGCGGCGGGGCCGCGAGGTGCAGGGCGGCGGGGCCGTCGAAGCAGGGCGGCGGGGCCGCTTAGCAGAGGGCGGCTAGGCTGCGATGTGCAGGGCGGCGGGGCCGCGAAGGAAGGGTGGCGGGGCCGCGATAGAAGGGCGGCCGGGCCGCGAAGCGTAGGGCAGCAGGGCCGCTAGGGGAGAGAAGGCCGCTAGGGCGGCTCGGTAAATGAATAGCCCGAGGCGCGACTCGGGATGAGTGCGCTTCGGGCAGTAAAAAAATCGAAGTGGTGGGCCCTAGGCGCAGTTCCCACAGGGGAACCTGCTCGATACCATGAGAAGATTTGAACGAGAATGAAGCAACTATGAATGAAGTGAGTACATATATGAAACCCTAATTGGGTTGTACCCCCTATGGGATACCCCACTATAGCCTACACAACAGCATAAGCTATAATGTGATGACATCTAATGCATATGTATATGGAAAATGGTGCATTGGCCAGGTCGGTCTGTATGGGAACTTAGAGTGCAAATGCCTGGGAGAACGGAACCGCTCCGATCTCGCATAGTACACGGAATCTAGTGGTCTCACTCAAATATAAGGTAGGAAATATATTAATCGAGTGAACGTAAGGGTTTGAAAGGTAACTAACGCACATGTGTAGAGAAAATGGTGCATCGGCCAGTCTGACCGGCATTTCGCACTTATAGTGCAAGTGGGGCCAGGGAGAACGGAAACGCTCGTTTCTCAAAAAGTAGAGGGAATCTAGCAGTCTCACTCGATCAGAAGGTGGGAAATATATAGATCTACTCAGCTAAAAAGTTTTGAAAGGTATCTAACGCACATGTATAGAGAAAATGGTGCATTGGCCAGGTCGGTCAGTATCGGAACTTAAAATGCAAATGCCAGGGAGAACGGAAGCGCTCAGATTTCGCATAGTACGCGGAATTAAGTGGTCTCACTCAAATAGAAAGTAGGAAATATATTCATCTAGTGAACGTAAGGGTTTGAAAGGTAACTAACGCACATGTGTAGAGAAAATGGTGCATCGGCCAATCTGGCCGGCATTTCGCACTTATAGTGCAAGTAGGGCCAGGGAGAACGGAAACGCTCGTTTCTCAAAAAGTAAAGGAAATCTAGCGGTCTCACTCGATAACAAGGTGGGAAATATATAAATCTAGTGAGCTAATAAGGTTTGAAAGGTATATAATGCACATGTATATGGAAAATGGTGCATTGGCCAGGTCCGTCAGTATGGGAACTTAGAGTGCAAATGCCTGGGAGAACGGAACCGCTCAGATCTCGCATAGTACACGGAATCTAGTGGTCTCACTCAAATAGATAGTAGGAAATATATTCATCTAGTGAACGTAAGGGTTTGAAAGGTAACTAACGCACATGTGTAGAGAAAATGGTGCATCGGCCAGTCTGGCCGGCATTTCGCACTTATAGTGCAAGTAGGGCCAAGGAGAACGTAAACGCTCATTTCTCAAAAAGTAAAGGGAATCTAGCGCTCTCACTCGATCAGAAGGTGGGAAATATATAAATCTAGTCAGCTAAAATGGTTTGAAAGGTATCTAACGCACATGTATAGAGAAAATGGTGCACTGGCCAGGTCGATAAGTATCGGAACTTAAAATGCAAATGCCAGGGAGAACGGAAGCGCTCAGATCTCGCATAGTACACGGAAGCAAAGGGTCTCACTCAAATAGAAAGTAGGAAATATATTCATCTAATGAACGTAAGGGTTTGAAAGGTAAATAACGCACCTGTGTAGAGAAAATGGTGCATCGGCCAGTCTGGCCGGCATTTCGCACTAATAGTGCAAGTAGGGCCAGGGAGAACGGAAACGCTCGTTTCTCAAAAAGTAGAGGGAATCTAGCGGTCTCACTCGATCAGAAGGTGGGAAATATATAAATCTAGTCAGCTAAAAAGGTTTGAAAGTGTCAACGGGAGCGTTGTAAGGCCCCGTCCTCGCTTGGGCGGAGCCAACCTTTTGGTCGGATGTGCGAGGGGTGTAGCCGACCTGCAGCAGTGGGCACGGGGGCCACTGCAAGGTCACCGAGTTGGAAGGCGCCTGGCTGGAGGGCGCCGAGCAGGAGGACGCCGCCCAGGACGCCTGGGCGACGCCGAGCTGGGCGTCGCTATGACCACCCGGACGCCGGGTCGACGTCCTGGGCGTCTGCACGGGGGGTCCGGACGCTGACTTGGGCGTCTCGGGGGCCCTGACACCGACCTCGGTGTCTGGTCGGCGTCCTGGGAGGAGGGACACCGCTCTGGAGGTCTGGTCGGCGTCCTGGGCACGCCGAGCTGGGGGTTTGGAAGGCGTCCTGGGCGCCTGGACGTCGGACTGGGGACGCCGGGCATGCGTGGCCGGCTACGGACTGCGTGAGCCGACCAGGCGTGGTTGCCCGGTCGATCAGGATACCTGGGCGACATGCGCGAGTGTCGCCAGGGTAGAGACTGCGAGGCCGACTTCGGGGGTGGTATCCCGAGGTCGACGTGGCTGGTGGACACAGTCGCTGGTGTGGACTCTGCCAAGCATCTGCGTTGTGCACGTGACAATGAAGTGCGCACCAACCAGCTGCGCGCACCTGCGAAGCAGGTGCACCGTTGTCCTGCGGATGCAACGCTGTGCAGCCGTCTTGGTGCAGCGCTGGCACACCGTGGACTTGCAACGTTGGCGAACCGCTACTCTGCAACGCTGGAGCGGTGCGAGCACTGCTGCGCTTGAGCGCGGTCGACCGTGCTGCGCTAGAGGTCGACCAGCAGCCTAGCTAGCACTGATGTAGTCTGTGGTGCCAATGTTGTTGCGATCATTGTTGTCATGTTTTCCTAGTGAAACTCTTGCAAATTCTCCCCGTGAACTAGCAAGGAGCGTGAACACAAGGAAACGACCAAGTGAACGAGCACAGAGATCACACAAGCACACGTGCCTAGCCCGTAGCCTAGCTCCCGTTGCTGCTATTATCTCCGCATGGTGCGGTGAGCGTGGACGACACCGCGGCGTAGTTCAGTCTAGCCGACTTAGCACATACCGATCGTGTTCGTAGACCGGCAGCCGCGTAGTCACTAGCGTGCGCGTAGGCGACGCCGAGGTGATGGACACCCTGGAGGGACGGCTGGAGGATGCGAGGAGATGCCATGAGGCCCAGGAGTATGGGGCGATACCCTGGGCAGTCCTCGAGGCCGGACTCCGCTCCGTGTGGGCGGCGGAGCACCCCCCTTCTCGACCTGCCTCTCCTTGACCGGTGAACAACGACGGCGGCGTCGATGTGGGCGTCAACGCTGGTGGAGGTCAGGTCGGCAGCAGTGTAAGAGGCACGTCGAGGCAACGAGGTGTGATACACGCCGGTGAAGCCGGCGGCGTTCAGGCACGAGGGATGCAGTCGTCGGCGGCTGCAGGCTCCTCACATGGTGACGCCGGAGGGCGTCGAAGCGGACTGTCGCCGATGTCAGCATCCCAGGTGACGGCAGGTGGGATTGCACCGAGCTACGGCTACTTCAAGTTTACGCCAGACAGGATCTCGGTCACCCCTCCGCTGGTCGGCCGACGTGGACGTGAACGTGGACATGGACGTGGACGTGGACATGGACGTGGACGTGGACGTGGACGTGGACATGGACGTGGACGTCGACGTGGACATGGACGTGGACGTGGACGTGGAGGACTTGGACGTGGACGTGGACGTAGACGTGGAGGGTGGACGTGGACGTGGACGTGGACGGTCGTGGACGTGGACGTGGACATGGACGTGGACGTGGACGTGGACATGGACGTAGACGTGGACGTGGACATGGACGTGGACGTGGACGTGGACATGGACGTGGACATGGACGTGGACGTGGACGTGGACATGGACGTAAACATGGACATGGACGTGGACGTGGACGTGGACATGGACGTGGATGTGGACATGGACGTGGACGTGGACGTGGACGGTCGTGGACGTAGACGTGGACGTGGACGGTCGTGGACGTGGACGTGGACGTGGACATGGACGTGGACGTGGATGTGGACGTGGAAGTGGACATGGACGTGGACATAGACGTGGACGTGGTCGTGGACGTGGACATGGTCGTGGACATGGACGTGGACATGGACGTGGACATGGACATGGACATGGACATGGATGTGGACGTGGACGTGGACGTGGACGTGGACATGGACGTGGAGATGGACGTGGAGATGGACGTGGACGTGGACATGGACGTGGACGTGGACGTGGACGTGGACGTGGACATGGACGTGGATGTGGACGTGGACGTGGACGTGGACGTGGACATGGACGTGGACGTGGACGTGGACGTGGACGTGGACATGGACGTCGACATGGACGTGGACGTGGACGTGGACGTGGACATGGACGTGGACGTGGACGTGGACGTGGACGTGGACAAGGACGTGGACGTGGAGGACTTGGACGTGGACATGGACGTGGACGTGGACGTGGACGTGGACGTAGACGGTCGTGGACGTGGACGTGGACGGTCGTGGACGTGGACGTAGACGTGGACGTGGACATGGACGTGGACGTGGACGTGGACGTGGACGTGGACATGGACGTGGACGTGGACGTGGATGTGGACGTGGACGTGGACATGGACGTGGACATGGACGTGGACGTGGACGTGGACATGGACGTGGACGTGGACGTGGACGTGGACATGGACGTGGACGTGGACGTGGACGTGGACATGGACGTGGACATGGACGTGGACGTGGACGTGGACGTGGACATGGTCGTGGACGTGGACGTGGACGTGGACGTGGACATGGACGTGGACGTGGACGTGGTCGTGGACGTAGACATGGTCGTGGACGTGGACGTGGACGTGGAGTGGTCGTAGACGTGGATGTTGACGTGGACGTGGACGTGCACGTGGTCGTGGACGTGGAGGACGTGGATGTGGACATGGACGTGGACGTGGACGTGGTCGTGGATGTGGACGTGGACGTGGTCCTGGTCGTGGACGTGGTCGTAGACGTGGACGTGGTCGTCCACGACGTGGACTTGGACGTGGACGTGGACGTGGTCGTGGACGTGGACCTGGATATGGACGTGGACGTGGACGTGGACGTGGAAGTGGTCGTGGACGTGGACGTTGACGTGGACGTGGACGTGGACGTGGTTGTGGACGTGGAGGACTTGAGCGTGGACATGGACGTGGACGTGGACGTGAACGTGGACGTGGACATGGTCGTGGACGTGGACGTGGACGTGGACGTGGACGTGGAAGTGGACGTGGTCGTGGACGTGGACGTGGTCGTGGACGTGGACGTGGACGTGGTCGTGGACGTGGACATGGACGTGGACGTGGTCGTGGACGTCGACGTGGACGTGGACGTGGTCGTGGACGTGGTCGTGGATGTGGACGTGGACATGGACGTGGTCGTGGATGTGGACGTGGTGGTGGACGTGGACGTGGACGTGGACGTGGTGGTGGACGTGGACGTGGACGTGGACGTGGACGTGGTCGTCGACGTGGACGTGGACGTGGACGTGGACGTGGACGTGGTCGTGGACGTGGACGTGGACGTGGTCGTGGACGTGGACGTGGACGTGGACGTGGACGTGGACGTGGACATGGACGTGGACGTGGACGTGGACGTGGACGTGGACGTGGACGTGGTCGTGGACGTGGACGTGGCGTGGACGTGGACGTGGACGTGGACGTGGACGTGGACATGGACGTGGACATGGACGTGGACATGGACGTTGACATGGACGTGGACGTGGACATGGACGTGGACATGGACGTGGACGTGGACATGGACGTGGAAATGGACGTGGACGTGGACGTGGACGTAGACATGGACGTGGACGTGGACATGGACGTGGACGTGTACGTGGACGTGGATGGACATGGACGTGGACATGGACGTGGACGTGGACGTGGACATGGACGTGGACGTGGACGTGGACGTGGACGTGGACATGGACGTGGACATGGACGTGGACGTGGACATGGACGTGGACATGGACGTGGACGTGGACGTGGACGTGGACGTGGACATGGACGTGGACGTGGACGTGGACATGGACGTGGACATGGACGTGGACGTAGACGTAAACATGGACGTGGACATGGACGTGGACATGGACGTGGACATGGACGTGAACATGGACGTGGACATGGACGTGGACATGGACGTGGACATGGACGTGGACGTGGACATGGACATGGACGTGGACGTGGACGTGGACGTGGACATTGACGTGGACGAGGACATGGACGTGGACGTGGACGTGGACATGGACGTGGACGTGGACGTGGACATGGACGTGGACGTGGACGTGGACGTGGACGTGGACGTGGACATGGACATGGACGTGGACGTGGACGTGGACGTGGATATGGACGTGGACGTGGACGTGGACGTGGATGTGAACGTGGAGGACTTGGACGTGGACATGGACATGGACGTGGACGTGGACGTGGACGTGGACGTGGACATGGACGTGGACGTGGACGTGGACGTGGACGTGGTCGTGGACGTGGACGTGGGCGTGGACGTGGACGTGGACGTGGACGTGGACATGGACGTGGACATGGACGTGGACATGGACGTTGACATGGACGTGGACGTGGACATGGACGTGGACATGGACGTGGACGTGGACATGGACGTGGAAATGGACGTGGACGTGGACGTGGACGTAGACATGGACGTGGACGTGGACATGGACGTGGACGTGTACGTGGACGTGGATGGACATGGACGTGGACGTGGACGTGGACGTGGACGTGGACATGGACGTGGACGTGGACGTGGACGTGGACGTGGACATGGACGTGGACATGGACGTGGACGTGGACATGGACGTGGACATGGACTTGGACGTGGACGTGGATGTGGACGTGGACATGGACGTGGACGTGGACGTGGACATGGACGTGGACATGGACGTGGACATGGATGTGGACGTAGACGTAAACATGGACGTGGACATGGACGTGTACATGGACGTGAACATGGACGTGAACATGGACGTGGACATGGACGTGGACATGGACGTGGACATGGACGTGGACGTGGACATGGACATGGACGTGGACGTGGACGTGGACGTGGACATGGACATGGACGAGGACGTGGACGTGGACGTGGACGTGGACATGGACGTGGACGTGGACGTGGACATGGACGTGGACGTGGACGTGGACGTGGACGTGGACGTGGACGTGGACGTGGACATGGACGTGGACGTGGACGTGGACGTGGACGTGGACGTGGACGTGGACATGGACGTGGACGTGGACGTGGATGTGGACGTGGAGGACTTGGACGTGGACATGGACATGGACGTGGACGTGGACGTGGACGTGGACGTGGACATGGACGTGGACGTGGACGTGGACGTGGATGGACATGGACGTGGACGTGGACGTGGACGTGGACATGGACGTGGACGTGGACGTGGACGTGGACATGGACGTGGACGTGTACGTGGACGTGGATGGACGTGGACGTGGACGTGGACGTGGACGTGGACGTGGATATGGACGTGGACGTGGACGTGGACGTGGATGGACATGGACGTGGACGTGGACGTGGACGTGGACATGGACGTGGACGTGGACGTGTACGTGGACGTGGATGGACGTGGACGTGGACGTGGACGTGGACGTGGACGTGGACATGGACGTGGACGTGGACGTGGACGTGGACATGGACGTGGACATGGACGTGGACGTGGACGTGGATGTGGACGTGGTCATGGACGTGGACGTGGACGTGGACATGGACGTGGACATGGACGTGGACGTAGACGTAAACATGGACGTGGACATGGACGTGGACATGGACGTGGACATGGACGTGAACATGGACGTGGACATGGACGTGGACATGGACGTGGACATGGACGTGGACATGGACATGGACATGGACGTGGACGTGAACATGGACGTGGACATGGACGTGGACGTGGACATGGACGTGGACGTGGACATGGACGTGGACATGGACGTGGACGTGGATGGACGTGGACGTGGACATGGTCGTGGACGTGGACGTGGACGTGGACATGGACGTGGACGTGGACGTGGACGTGGACGTGGACGTGGGCGTGGACGTGGACGTGGACGTGGACGTGGACGTGGACGTGGACGTGGAGGTGGACGTGGAGGTGGACGTGGACGTGGACGTGGAGGTGGACGTGGACGTGGACGTGGAGGTGGACGTGGACGTGGACGTGGACGTGGTCGTGGACGTGGACATGGACGTGGACGTGGACGTGGACGTGGACGTGTACATGGACGTGGACGTGGACGTAGACGTGGACGTGGACATGGACGTGGACGTGGACGTGGACGTGGACGTGGACGAAGACTTGGACGTGGACGTGGACGTGGACGTGGACGTGGACATGGACGTGGACATGGACGTGGACGTGGACGTGGACATGGACGTGGACCTGGACGTGGACGTGGTCATAGACGTGGACGTGGACATGGACGTGGACATGGACGTGGACATGGACGTGGACGTGGACGTGGACGTGGACGTGGACATGGACGTGGACGTGGACGTGGACGTGGACATGGACGTGGACGTGGACATGGACGTGGACATGGACGTGGACGTGGACGTGGACGTGGACGTGGACATGGACGTAGACGTGGACGTGGACATGGACGTGGACATGGACGTGGACGTAGACGTGGACATGGACGTGGACATGGACGTGGACATGGACGTGGACATGGACGTGGACATGGACGTGGACGTGGACATGGTCGTGGACGTGGACGTGGACGTGGGCGTGGACGTGGGCGTGGACGTGGACATGGACGTGGACGTGGACGTGGACATGGACGTGGACGTGGACGTGGACGTGGACATGGACGTGGACGTGGACGTGGACGTGGACGTGGACGTGGACATGGACGTGGACGTAGATGTGGACGTAGACGTGGACATGGACGTGGACATGGACGTGGACATGGACGTGGACATGGACGTGGACATGGACGTGGACATGGACGTGGACATGGACGTCGACGTGGACGTGGACATGGACGTGGACGTGGACGTGGACGTGGACATGGACGTGGACGAGGACGTGGACGTGGACGTGGACGTGGACATGGACGTGGACGTGGACGTAAACGTGGACGTGGACGTGGACATGGACGTGGACGTGGACGTGGACGTGGACGTGGACGTGGAGGACTTGGACGTGGATATGGACGTGGACGTGGACGTGGACGTGTACGTGGACGTGGACGTACGTGACGTGGACGTGGACGTGGACGTGGACGTGGACGTGGACGTGGACGTGGTCGTGGACGTGGACGTGGACGTGGACATGGACGTGGACGTGGACGTGGACGTGGACGTGGACGTGGACATGGTCGTGGACGTGGACGTGGACGTGGACGTGGACGTGGACGTGGACGTGGACGTGGACGTGGTCGTGGTCGTGGACGTGAACGTGAACGTGGTCGTGGACGTGGATGGAACGTGGACGTGGTCGTGGACGTGGACGTGGACGTAGACGTAAACATGGACGTGGACATGGACGTGGACATGGACGTGGACATGGACGTGAACATGGACGTGGACATGGACGTGGACATGGACGTGGACATGGACGTGGACGTGGACATGGACATGGACGTGGACGTGGACGTGGACGTGGACATGGACGTGGACGAGGACATGGACGTGGACGTGGACGTGGACATGGACGTGGACGTGGACGTGGACATGGACGTGGACGTGGACGTGGACGTGGACATGGACATGGACGTGGACGTGGACGTGGACGTGGATATGGACGTGGACGTGGACGTGGACGTGGACGTGGACGTGGACGTGGGCGTGGACGTGGACGTGGACGTGGACGTGGACATGGACGTGGACATGGACGTGGACATGGACGTTGACATGGACGTGGACGTGGACATGGACGTGGACATGGACGTGGACGTGGACATGGACGTGGAAATGGACGTGGACGTGGACGTGGACGTAGACATGGACGTGGACGTGGACATGGACGTGGACGTGTACGTGGACGTGGATGGACATGGACGTGGACGTGGACGTGGACGTGGACGTGGACATGGACGTGGACGTGGACGTGGACGTGGACGTGGACATGGACGTGGACATGGACGTGGACGTGGACATGGACGTGGACATGGACTTGGACGTGGACGTGGATGTGGACGTGGACATGGACGTGGACGTGGACGTGGACATGGACGTGGACATGGACGTGGACGTAGACGTAAACATGGACGTGGACATGGACGTGTACATGGACGTGAACATGGACGTGAACATGGACGTGGACATGGACGTGGACATGGACGTGGACATGGACGTGGACGTGGACATGGACATGGACGTGGACGTGGACATGGACGTGGACATGGACATGGACGAGGACGTGGACGTGGACGTGGACGTGGACATGGACGTGGACGTGGACGTGGACATGGACGTGGACGTGGACGTGGACGTGGACGTGGATGTGGACGTGGACGTGGACGTGGACGTGGACATGGACGTGGACGTGGACGTGGACGTGGACGTGGACGTGGACGTGGACATGGACGTGGACGTGGGTGTGGATGTGGACGTGGAGGACTTGGACGTGGACATGGACATGGACGTGGACGTGGACGTGGACGTGGACATGGACGTGGACGTGGACGTGGACGTGGATGGACATGGACGTGGACGTGGACGTGGATATGGACGTGGACATGGACGTGGACGTGGGCGTGGACGTGGACGTGGACGTGGACGTGGACATGGACGTGGACATGGACGTGGACATGGACGTTGACATGGACGTGGACGTGGACATGGACGTGGACATGGACGTGGACGTGGACATGGACGTGGAAATGGACGTGGACGTGGACGTGGACGTGGACATGGACGTGGACGTGTACGTGGACGTGGATGGACATGGACGTGGACGTGGACGTGGACGTGGACGTGGACATGGACGTGGACGTGGACGTGGACGTGGACGTGGACATGGACGTGGACATGGACGTGGACGTGGACATGGACGTGGACATGGACTTGGACGTGGACGTGGATGTGGACGTGGACATGGACGTGGACGTGGACGTGGACATGGACGTGGACATGGACGTGGACGTAGACGTAAACATGGACGTGGACATGGACGTGTACATGGACGTGAACATGGACGTGAACATGGACGTGGACATGGACGTGGACATGGACGTGGACATGGACGTGGACGTGGACATGGACATGGACGTGGACGTGGACGTGGACGTGGACATGGACATGGACGAGGACGTGGACGTGGACGTGGACGTGGACATGGACGTGGACGTGGACGTGGACATGGACGTGGACGTGGACGTGGACGTGGACGTGGACGTGGACGTGGACATGGACGTGGACGTGGACGTGGACGTGGACGTGGACGTGGACGTGGACATGGACGTGGACGTGGACGTGGATGTGGACGTGGAGGACTTGGACGTGGACATGGACATGGACGTGGACGTGGACGTGGACGTGGACGTGGACATGGACGTGGACGTGGACGTGGATGTGGATGGACATGGACGTGGACGTGGACGTGGACATGGACGTGGACGTGGACGTGGACGTGGACATGGACGTGGACGTGTACGTGGACGTGGATGGACGTGGACGTGGACGTGGACGTGGACGTGGACGTGGACATGGACGTGGACGTGGACGTGGACGTGGATGGACATGGACGTGGACGTGGACGTGGACGTGGACATGGACGTGGACGTGGACGTGGACGTGTACGTGGACGTGGATGGACGTGGACGTGGACGTGGACGTGGACGTGGACGTGGACATGGACGTGGACGTGGACGTGGACGTGGACATGGACGTGGACATGGACGTGGACGTGGATGTGGACGTGGTCATGGACGTGGACGTGGACGTGGACATGGACGTGGACATGGACGTGGACGTAGACGTAAACATGGACGTGGACATGGACGTGGACATGGACGTGGACATGGACGTGAACATGGACGTGGACATGGACGTGGACATGGACGTGGACATGGACGTGGACATGGACATGGACATGGACGTGGACGTGAACATGGACGTGGACATGGACGTGGACGTGGACATGGACGTGGACGTGGACATGGACGTGGACATGGACGTGGACGTGGATGGACGTGGACGTGGACATGGTCGTGGACGTGGACGTGGACGTGGACATGGACGTGGACGTGGACGTGGACGTGGACGTGGACGTGGGCGTGGACGTGGACGTGGACGTGGACGTGGACGTGGACGTGGACGTGGACGTGGAGGTGGACGTGGAGGTGGACGTGGACGTGGACGTGGAGGTGGACGTGGACGTGGACGTGGAGGTGGACGTGGACGTGGACGTGGACGTGGTCGTGGACGTGGACATGGACGTGGACGTGGACGTGGACGTGGACGTGTACATGGACGTGGACGTGGACGTAGACGTGGACGTGGACATGGACGTGGACGTGGACGTGGACGTGGACGTGGAGGTGGACGTGGACGAAGACTTGGACGTGGACGTGGACGTGGACGTGGACGTGGACGTGGACATGGACGTGGACATGGACGTGGACGTGGACGTGGACATGGACGTGGACGTGGACGTGGACGTGGACATGGACGTGGACGTGGACATGGACGTGGACATGGACGTGGACGTGGACGTGGACGTGGACGTGGACATGGACGTGGACGTGGACGTGGACATGGACGTGGACATGGACGTGGACGTAGACGTGGACATGGACGTGGACATGGACGTGGACATGGACGTGGACATGGACGTGGACATGGACGTGGACGTGGACATGGTCGTGGACGTGGACGTGGACGTGGGCGTGGACGTGGGCGTGGACGTGGACATGGACGTGGACGTGGACGTGGACATGGACGTGGACGTGGACGTGGACGTGGACATGGACGTGGACGTGGACGTGGACGTGGACGTGGACGTGGACATGGACGTGGACGTAGATGTGGACGTAGACGTAGACATGGACGTGGACATGGACGTGGACATGGACGTGGACATGGACGTGGACATGGACGTGGACATGGACGTGGACATGGACGTCGACGTGGACGTGGACATGGACGTGGACGTGGACGTGGACGTGGACATGGACGTGGACGAGGACGTGGACGTGGACGTGGACGTGGACATGGACGTGGACGTGGACGTAAACGTGGACGTGGACGTGGACATGGACGTGGACGTGGACGTGGACGTGGACGTGGAGGACTTGGACGTGGATATGGACGTGGACGTGGACGTGGACGTGGACGTGGACGTGGACGTGGACGTGGACGTAGACGTGGACGTGGACGTGGACGTGGACGTGGACGTGGACGTGGACGTGGACGTGGACGTGGTCGTGGACGTGGACGTGGACGTGGACGTGGACGTGGACGTGGACGTGGACGTGGACGTGGACATGGTCGTGGACGTGGACGTGGACGTGGACGTGGACGTGGACGTGGACGTGGTCGTGGTCGTGGACGTGAACGTGAACGTGGTCGTGGACGTGGATGGAACGTGGACGTGGTCGTGGACGTGGACGTGGACGTGGTCGTGGACGTGGACGTGGACCTGGACGTGGACCTGGACGTGGACGTGGTCGTGGACGTGGACGTGGACATGGACGTGGATGTGGACGTGGACATGGACGTGGACGTGGACGTGGTCGTCGACGTCGACATGGACGTAGACTTAGAGGTGGTCGTGGACGTGGACGTGGTGTCAGAACATATAGCTTACTTGTTTCTGTAGGCTATAGTGGGGTATCCCATAGGGGGTACAACCCAATTAGGGTTTCCTATTTGTACCCACTTTATTTCATAGTCATCCACTCCCGTTCATTCAGTTTCACATGGTATAGAGCGGGTCCCTTCTAAGGACCGTTTTTTTTTGGGCCCACCCACGATCTTTTTTTTCCTGCCCGGAGCGCGCCCTATTCTCCTCGAGGCGCGCTCCCCCTAGTGCGCGTCGAGCTGCCCTTGTGGCGCCCCGAGAGTCGCGCGCGCGACTCATTTTTTTTTTCGCGCGTGCGGCCCGGGCCCCACTTCGCGCGGCCCTTACAGCCGCGCCGCGCCGCCCTCTCGGCTCTGCCGCGCCGCGCCGCCCTCAAGACGGCCGCGCGGCCTCTTCGTCGCTGCGGCAGGCCCCCCCCCCCCCCGCTGCACCTCTGTCGGCCCCGCCGCCGCCTTACCTGACGGCCGCCGCCTCACCTGACGGCCCGCCGCCTCGCCCTCTGGCCCGCCACCTCACCAGACGGCCCTGCTGCCTCACCTGACGGCCCACTGTCTCACCTGCTGGCCCGCCACCTTACCTGACGGCCCCGCCGCCTCACCTGACGGCCCGCCGCCACCTTACCTGACGGCTTCGCCGCCTCACCTGACGGCCCGCCGCCTCACCTACTGGCCCGCCACCTGACCTGACGGCCCCACCGCCTCACCTGACGGCCCGCCGCCTGACCTGCTGGCCCGCCACCTCACTGACGGCCCGCCGCCTCCCTCGCTGGCCCGCCACCTGATCTGACGGCCCCGCCGCCTCACCTGACGGCTCGCCGCCTCACCTGCTGGCCTGCCACCTGACCTGACGGCCCCGCCGCCTCACCTACCGGCTCGCCACCTCACCTGCTGGCCCACTGCACCCTGACGGCCCCACCGTCCACTGTCCCGGCCCCGCCGCTGCACCCTGACGGCCCCGCCGTCCCTTGTCCCGGCCCCGCCACTACACTGCAGCCGAGCCGCCCAGCAGCAGCCGAGCCGCCCAGCAGCAGCCGAGCCGCTCAGCAGCAGCCGAGCCGCCCAGCAGCAGCCGAGCCGCCCAGCAGCAGCCGAGCCGCCCAGCAGCACCCGAGCCGCCCGAGCCGCCCGAGCCGCCCGAGCCGCCCGAGCCGCCCGAGCCGCCCCACCAGCCCGAGCCGCCTGCTGCTGTCCTACCCGACTCTCCTAGCCCGGTGAGACTTTCAGCTGCTGCCATGGCCACCCCCAATGTTCTTACTTTTGACGCTGAGGGGAGGGCCATTGACTTTGCCGTCTGGATTGAAGACCTGCAGCTGTACTTACTGTGTGATGCGATAGATGAGGTCTCTCTCTTTGACTTTGTCTCTGGCGCTGTCCCTGCCCCGCCTGCTGATGCTGACTCTGCTGCTCGCTCCAAGTGGGCGACCCGCGATGCTGCTGCACGTCTTGCTGTGCGTCGCCACCTCCCTTCCTCTGAGCGTGCCCACTTTAGTCAGTGCAAGACCGCTCAGGCCTTGTACGACGCTGTAGTTGCACGCTACTCCTCCCCTTCCTCCGCTACCCTTAGCCGCCTCATGCTGCCGTTTCTCTTCCCTGACATCGCTTCCTTTCCCACTGTTGCTGACCTAGTTACCCACCTCCGCGCTAGTGACACCCGCTACCGTGCTGCCCTTCCTGCTGAGTTCCGCGCTGCGAACCCTCCTCCCATGTACATCACTCTCTACTTTCTCGTCACCCGTCTCCCTGAGTCCCTTCGTGTCGTTAGGGACCAGTTTCTCTCTGTCTGTCCCACCACTCTCACTGTCGACCTCCTTGAGGAGTCCCTGCTGGCGGCTGAGAAGAGTATTGTCGCTGTAGGGGCCTCTCGGGGTGACCCTCGCACCCCCATCTTTGAGGGGTGTGGTCCTTCCCCCCTGCTGCCCTCTGTCGCCTCTGCCGCTGCGGCCGACCTCGCTGGTTTTGAGTCGGTCGGCGCGGCGTCTGCCCCCAGCGGCAGACGCCGCTCTGGCAAGGGCAAGGGGGGCAAGGGGGCGGGTGGAGCTAGAGGGGGCGGTGGAGGAGGCGGTGGGGGTGGAGGGGGGAGTGGGGGTGGCGGTGGGGGTGGTGGCGGGAGTGGAGGTACTAGTGGCGGCAGTGGAGGCGGAGGTGGCGGCGGAGGTGGTAGCGGAGGAGGCGGTGGGAGCGGTGGGAGCGACGGTCCTGGTGGGGGAGGTGGCGGTGGAGACGGGGGTGGCGGTGGAGGCGGGGGTGGCGGTGGAGGCGGGGGTCGGAGTGGCTCGTCCCAGCGGAGCAGCTCTGGGGGTGGTCAGCGCCAGCAGTAGCAGCAGCAGCAGCAGCAGCCGCAGCAGCAGCAGCGCTCTCGCACCGTCCCCGGCCCTCAGCAGCTCCGTGAGTGGTACTTGCAGCGTCAGCGCGGTGGTGCGCTTGGTCCCTGCCCCTACGTTCTTCGCACCGGTGACCGTGCGGGGGAGAGGTGTGGAGGCGCCCACACAGCCCGTCGCTGCTTTGGCCGCCTGACCGACGCCTGGCGTCAGCAGTTTCCGGAGGCCGCTGAGATCCCCCGCTGGGGAGAGCTGTCTAGGGCTGGAGTAGCTATTTATGATCTTGACTTTGATGCTATTCTCTCTGCTATGTATGCTGTGACTGGTAGTGATGAGGATGACTGTTACCGGTGTTTCCCGCCCGACCCGGGCATTGGTACTGCCGCGTCAGGTACTAGTGAGGCTGCAGCTCTAGGTGCCAGTGCGTCTGTGCTCTCAGGTGCTAGTGAGTCCGCCCTCTCAGGTACTGTGTCGGCTTCGGCCTCTCACACCTTCACCCTTGACTCTGGAGCGTCTCGCTCCTTCTTTAGGGACCGCACCACTCTCACGCCGCTGAGTCGGCCGGTTGCGGTGTCCCTGGCTGACCCTTCTGGGGGACCTGTCCTGTCTCGCTTCTCCACTGTCCTCCCGTGTCCAGCGGCCCCCTCTGGCACCCTGACTGGTCTCTACCTCCCCTCGTTCTCGACGAACTTGGTGAGTGGTGCTGACCTCCAGGATGCAGGTGTCCACCAGTTCACCCCTGCTCGTCAGCGGGTGACCCACTGTACGGAGGCGGATACAGGTCGTCACCTGGCTACGTTTACACGTCGGCCAGGGTCGAGCCTGTACACACTGACCACTGCTTCTCCTCCAGGTGCTGCGTCTGGTAGAGTCCCTTCGTCTGGTCAGGTGTTTGCTGCAGCGTCCAGGTCTGGTCCTGAGTCTGCCCCCTGTTCGTGTCGTCGTCTGTCTCACGAGACCCTCCTCTGGCACCACCGCCTTGGCCACCCCTCTCTGCTTCGGCTCAGAGGCATGGCCTCGCGGGTCCTTGTGTCTGGTCTTCCCCGGTCCCTCCCTCCCCTTCCTCCGGGCCCTGGCCCTGCCTGTGTCCCCTGTGTCGAGGGGCGCCAGCGTGCTGCCCCTCACTCCTCCCAGTTTCCTCCGACAGAGGCCCCGTTGCAGACGCTTCACATGGACGTGTGGGGCCCAGCCCGCGTCCGTGGACAGGGTCAGGAGCGCTACTTCCTGCTGGTGGTTGACGACTACTCGCGTTACACCACAGTCTTCCCCTTGCGCAGCAAGGGTGAGGTCACTGAGGTGTTGATCGACTGGATCCGCGCAGCTCGTCTTCAGCTTCGGAGGAGCTTTGGCTCTGACTTCCCTGTTTTGCGTCTGCACTCGGACAGAGGCGGAGAGTTCTCCCTGGCCTCCTGAGTGCCTACTGTCGTGTGCGAGGCATCCGTCAGACCTTCACGCTTCCGGACTCACCACAGCAGAATGGGATTGCTGAGCGCCGCATTGGCATGGTCATGGACGTCGCTCGTACGTCCATGATGCATGCGGCTGCTCCCCATTTTCTGTGGCCGTTTGCGGTCAGGTACGCTGCGCACCAGATCAACCTCCACCCCAGGGTCTCTCGACCAGAGACCTCCCCAGCCCTGCTGTGGACGGGGAAGGTTGGCGATGCGTCGGCGTTCCGGGTCTGGGGATCTCGGGCGTTTGTTCGCGACCTGTCTGCGGACAAGCTGTCCCCTCGTGCTTCTCCCTGCGTCTTCCTGGGGTTCCCCCCCGACGCCCCTGGGTGGCAGTTTTACCACCCCACCTCTCGACGTGTTCTGTCCTCCCAGGACGTCACGTTCGACGAGTCGGTACCCTACTACCGCCTCTTCCCCTACCGCACTCCGTCCCTCCCCCCGCCCCCGCTCTTCTTGGTACCAGGTCCCCCCCCGGTAGTCCCCCTCCCCCCTCAGGGTCCTGCCCCTTCAGGTGTGTCCCAGGTAGACGCGGTCGAGCCTGTCGAGGTCACTGGTGACTCTGGTGCTGCTGCGGGAGCTGAGCCTGAGGGTGCGGAGTCTGGGGGTGCTGAGCCTGGGGGTACTGTGCCTGGGGGTGCTGAGCCTGGAGGTGTTGAGCCTGGGGGTGCTGTGCCTGGGGGTGCTGAGCCTGGGGGTGCTGAGCCTGGGGGTGCTGAGCCTGGGGGTGCTGAGCCTGGGGGTGCTGTGCCTGGGTGTGCTGAGCCTGGGGGTGCTGAGCCTGGGGGTGCTGTGCCTGGGGGTGCTCCGTCTCGCCGAGAGCCACTCCCCCCACAGGAGCTGCGTGAGTGGTTTGCCAGGCGCTGGAGGCGTGCTGCTGGTACTGGTGGTTCTTCGGCTGCAGAGGGTACTGCTGCCACGCGTCCTGGCGGTGCTCGTACTGTGGGTGCTGGAGCTGCTGGGTCTGAGAGTTCTCCTGGAGCTGGTCCTGCTGAGGGTGTTGGCGCTGAGCCTGCGGTTGGCGGTCCGACTGACAGTGTTCCTGGTGCTGCTGCTGGAGGTTCTGGAGCTTCTGGTGTTTCTGCTGGAGGTGCTGCTGGAGTGGGTGCTCCGGACGGGGCTGCTGCTGCTGTTCCTGCTGTTTCTGGTGTCGCCGCGCGGCCCCGACCGTACTTCGTTCCGCTCCTGCAGCAGGTTCTTGGTCTTGCACCTCCTCCTGCTCCCTTAGAGGGTCCGCAGCCTGTTCGGTCACAGCCACAGCTACAGCCTGCCTCCCCTTTGCCTGCTCCTTCTCCCTACGCTGGTCCGACTGGAGGTCTTACTGAGCGTCGTGAGCCTGCGTCTCGTCCTGCGTCGCCTGTTCGTACTGAGCGCGCTAGTGGTCGTGGTTCGCGTCAGCGTCCCCCTCCTGTCCCTGGCACGCACCGGATGTTACTGCGTCCGTCCACTGCTCCTCTGCGTGCCCCTTTGCCTTCTCCTCCTGCTTCCTCTCTTCCTGCTCTTGCCGACCCTGAGTCGGACTCTCTTCGCGCTGCCAGTCCTACTGTCACGCGTCTCCTTGCTACTGCTGTCACTGACCCTTCCTTCGAGTCGTCTGCTGCGTCTGCCCTTGTCACTGAGCTTGTCGACTTTGCTGCGCGCTGTCGTCTAGACTACGCTGCTCGTCTTGTCACTGAGTCTGAGTCCGCCTGTCCTCCGTCCGTCGGGGGTGAGTGTGCCCTTGGCACGGACGTCCTTGAGGACAGGCAGGAGGAGTTCTAGTGTCTAGCCGCTGCTTCACCTCGTCTTGCGTCTGTACTGCTAGCCCCTGAGGGAGACCCGGATGCACCAGACATCCCGACTCCGCGCTCTTACGCGGAGGCGATAGAGGGTCCCTACTCCTCTCAGTGGATGGCAGCTATGGATGCAGAGATGGCTTCCTGGAAGTCCACAGGCACCTACGTTGACGCTGTTCCCCCTCCTGGGGCGAACATCGTCAGTGGCATGTGGATTTTCAAGGTGAAGCGGCCGCCGGGTTCTCCACCTGTCTTCAAGGCGCGTTACGTGGCTCGTGGCTTCAGTCAGCGGCAGGGGGTTGACTACTTTCAGACCTTCTCCCCCACCCCGAAGATAACCACTCTTCGGGTTCTGCTGCACGTTGCTGCTCACCGTGACTACGAGCTGCACTCTCTTGACTTCAGCACTGCTTTCTTGCAGGGCAGCCTGCACGAGGAGATCTGGCTGCGTCGCCCACCTGGCTTCACTGGGTCTTTCCCTCCTGGTACCCAGTGGAGCCTCCGGCGTCCAGTCTACGGTCTCCGCCAGGCGCCACGTGAGTGGCACGACACACTGAGGACTACGCTCGCGGCACTTGGGTTTGCTCCTTCTACTGCCGACCCGTCGCTGTTTCTTCGCACCGACACCTCTCTGCCGCCGTTCTACATCCTCGTGTACGTCGACAACTTGGTCTTTGCCACAGCTGACACTGCTGGACTCGCCTACGTGAAGTCCGAGCTGCAGAAGAGACACACGTGCACAGACCTGGGTGAACTGCGCAGCTACCTTGGCTTGCAGATCACCCGGGACAGAGCACGCCGCACCATTACCCTGACTCAGTCACACATGGTGCAGCAGGTCCTTCAGCGCTTCGGCTTCACGTACTCCTCGCCTCAGGCCACTCCTCTGCCTACTCGCCACTCGCTCTCAGCTCTGCCTTCGGATGAGTCCGTAGAGTCGAGTGGCCCGTTTGCAGAGCTTGTTGGCTGCCTCATGTACCTGATGACCTGCACACGACCTGACCTCGCATACCCTCTTAGCATTCTCGCACGCTTTGTTGCTCCTGGGAGACACCGACCAGAGCACATGGCTGCAGCGAAAAGGGTGTTGCGCTACTTGTGCAGTACGTCGGGCATGGGGCTAGTGCTTGGAGGGCGCAGTCCAGTGGTCCTCACTGGGCACGCAGACGCTTCTTGGGCTGACGACCAGGCTACGCAGCGGTCGTCACAGGGTTACACCTTCAGCCTAGGTTCCGGCTCTGTCTCGTGGCGGGCTACCCGCTCGTCTTCTGTTCTCGGCTCCAGTTGTGAGGCTGAGATCTACGCTGGGGCTATGGCTGCACAGGAGTTACGCTGGCTCACCTACCTGCTGACCGACCTTGGAGAGCAGCCTCGTTCTCCTCCAGTCCTGTACGTAGACAACAAGGCCATGCTGGCCTTGTGTCGAGAGCAGCGACTGGAGCACAGAACGAAGCACATTGCTCTCCGCTACTTTCTTGCTCGTGAGCTACAGCAGCGTGGACAGCTACGACTTGCGTACGTGGCCTCTGAGGCCAACACTGCTGATGTGTTCACCAAGGCACTTGCGCCTTGTGATCATCAGCGTTGTTGCACGCAGTTGGGTCTTGTGGCTGTCTTGCCTCACTTGCTCTCCTCTTGACCTTGCTTGTACCTTCGCCTATATATACTCTTGCTCTTGCTTGCTTGATTCTTGTATATCTCTATATATGATCTTGCATGTAAACTGGCCTTCTGGCCTTTGAACTTGTGCTCGGAATGCGTGGTGACTTTGTGATCCACCCTGAGCTTTGCTTTGCTTTGCTTGACTGGTCTTGTGACCCCTTGTTCTCCCCCACTTTGCCTATGGGGGTGTGTCAGAACATATAGCTTACTTGTTTCTGTAGGCTATAGTGGGGTATCCCATAGGGGGTACAACCCAATTAGGGTTTCCTATTTGTACCCACTTCATTTCATAGTCATCCACTCCCGTTCATTCAGTTTCACACGTGGACGTGGTCGTGGACGTCGACGTCGACGTGGTCGTGGACGTGGACGTGGACGTGGACGTGGTCGTGGACGTAGACGTGGACGTGGACATGGTCGTGGACGTGAACGTGGACGTGGTCGTGGACGTGGACGTGGACAAGGACTTGAACGTGGACGTGGACGTGGGCGTGGGCGTGGACGTGGACGTGGACGTGGATATGGACGTGGTCATGGACGTGGACGTGGACGTGGACGTGGACGTGGTCGTGGACGTGGACGTGGACGTGGTCGTGGACGTGAACATGGACGTGGTCGTGGACGTAGACGTGGACGTGGACAAGGACTTGGACGTGGACGTGGACGTGGACGTGGGCGTGGACGTGGACGTGGACGTGGACGTGAACGTGTTCGTGGACGTGGACGTGGATTTGGACGTGGACCTGGACGTGGACGTGGTCGTGGACGTGGACCTGGACGTGGACGTGGATTTGGACGTGGACGTGGACGTAGAATTGGACGTGGACGTGGATGTGGACGTGGACGTGAACGTGCACGTGGACGTGGACTTGGACGTGGACGTGCACGTGGACGTGGACTTGGACGTGGTCGTGGACATGGACGTGGACGTCGACGTGGCCATGGACGTGGACATGGTCGTGGACGTGGACGTGGACGTAGACGTGGACGTGGACATGGACGTGGTCGTGGATGAGGACTTGGACTTGGACGTGGACGTGGACCTGGACATGGACGTGGACGTGGACGTGGTCGTGGACGTGGACGTGGTCGTGGACGTGGACGTGGTCGTGGACGTCGACGTGGACGTGGTCGTGGAGGTGGACGTGGACGTGGACGTGGACGTGGTCGTGGACGTCGACGTGGACCTGGACGTGGACGTGGACGTGGAAGTGGACGTCGACGTGGACGTCGACGTGGACGTGGACGTCGACGTGGTCGTGGACGTGGACCTGGACGTGGACGTGGACATGGACTTGGAGGACGTAGACGTGGACGTGGTCGTGGACGTGGACGTGGACGTGGATGTGGATGTGGTCGTGGACGTGGAAATGGACGTGGTCGTGGACGTGAACGTGGACATGGTCGTGGACGTGGACGTGGACAAGGACTTGGACGTGGACGTGGACGTGGGCGTGGGCGTGGACGTGGACGTGGATCTGGACGTGGTCGTGGACGTGGTCGTGGACATGGACGTGGACGTGGTCGTGGACGTGGACGTCGACGTGGTCGTGGACGTGGACGTGGACGTGGTCGTGGACGGGAACATGGACGTGGTCGTGGACGTGGACGTGGACGTGGACAAGGACTTGGACGTGCACGTGGACGTGGACGTGGGCGTGGACATGGACGTGGACGTGGACGTGAACGTGTTCGTGGACGTGGACGTGGACGTGGACGTGGATTTGGATGTGGACGTGGATTTGGACGTGGACGTGGACATGGACGTGGACCTGGACGTGGACATGGATGTGGACGTGGACGTGCACGTGGACGTGGACGTGGACGATGACGTGGACGTGGACTTGGACGTGGACGTGCACGTGGACGTGGACTTAGACGTGGACGTGGTCGTGGACGTGGACGTGGACGTGGACTTGGACGTGGTCGTGGACATGGACGTGGACGTCGACATGGCCATGGACGTGGACATGGTCGTGGACGTGGACGTGGACGTAGACGTGGACATGGACGTGGTCGTGGACGAGGACGTGGACGTGGACGTGGACGTGGACGTGGACGTGGACCTGGACATGGACGTGGACGTGGACGTGGTCGTGGACGTGGACGTGGTCGTGGACGTGGACGTGGACGTAGTCGTGGACGTGGACGTGGACGTGGACGTGGACGTGGTCGTGGACGTGGACGTGGACGTGGACGTGGACGTGGACGTGGAAGTGGACGTGGTCGTGGACGTGGACGTGGTCGTGGACGTGGACCTGGACGTGGACGTGGACGTGGACGTGGAGGACGTGGACGTGGACGTGGTCGTGGACGTGGACGTGGACGTGGACGTGGAGGACGTGGACGTGGACTTGGAGGACGTGGATGTGGACGTGGACCTGGACGTGGACGTGGACGTCTACGTGGACGTGGTCGTGGACGTGGACGTGGCATGGACGTGGACGTGGACGTGGACGGACATGGACGTGGATGTGGAGGACGTGGACGTGGACGTGGTCGTGGACGTGGACGTGGACCTGGACGTGGACGTGGGCTTGGACGTGGACGTGGACGTGGACGTGGACGTGGTCATGGACGTGGACGTGGCAAGGTCGTGGACATGGACGTGGACGTGGACTTGGACGTGGACGTGGACGTGGACGTGGACGTGGAGGTGGTCTTGGACGTGGACGTGGTCATGGACGTGGACGTGGACGTGGACGTGGACGTGGACGTGGAAGTGGACGTCGACGTGGACGTCGACGTGGACGTGGACGTGGACATAGACGTGGTCGTGGATGTGGACCTGGACGTGGACGTGGACGTGGACATGGAGGACGTGGACGTGGACGTGGTCGTGGACGTGGACGTAGACGTGGACGTGGAGGACGTGGACGTGGACGTGGAGGACGTGGACGTGGACGTGGACCTGGAGGACGTGGACGTGGACGTGGACGTGGACGTCGACGTGGACCGGGACGTGGACGTGGACTTGGACGTGGACGTGGACGTGGACGTGGTTGTGGACGTGGACGTGGACGTGGACGTGGACCTGAACGTGGACGTGGACTCGGACGTGGACGTGGACTTGGACTTGGACGTGGACGTGGACATCGACCTGGACGTGGTCGTGGACGTGGACGTGGAAAGGTCGTGGACGTGGACGTGGACGTGGACATGGACGTGGACGTAGACCTGGACGTGGACGTGGACGTGGACGTGGACCTGGACGTGGACGTGGACGTGGTCGTGGACGTGGACGTGGTTGTGTACGTGGACGTGGATGTGGTCATGGACGTGGTCGTGGACGTGGTCGTGGACGTGGACGTGGACGTAGACGTGGAGGCGGACGTGGACGTGGACATAGACGTGGACGTGGTCGTGGACGTGGACGTGGACGTGGTCGTGGACGTGGACTAAGACGTGGACGTGGACGTGGTCGTGGACATGGACGTGGACGTGGACGTGGTCGTGGACGTGGACGTGGACCTGGACGTGGACCGGGACGTGGACGTGGACGTGGTCGTGGACGTCGACGTGGACGTGGACGTGGTCGTGGACGTTAACGTGGATGTGGACGTGGACGTGGACCTGGACGTGGACGTGGACGTGGACCTGGACGTGGACTTGGACGTGGACGTCGACTTAGATGTGGTCGTGGACGTGGATGTGGAGGTTGTCGTGGACGTGGACGTGGACGTGGTCGTGGACATGGACGTCGACGTGGACGTGGACATGGACCTGGTCGTGGATGTAGACATGAACGTGGTCGTGGACGTGGACGTGGTCGTGGATGTAAACGTAGATGTGGACGTGGGCGTGGACGTGGACGTGGACGTGGATCTGGACGTGGTCGTGGACGTGGTCGTGGACGTGGACGTGGACGTGGTCGTGGACGTGGACGTCGACGTGGTCGTGGACGTGGACGTGGACGTGGTCGTGGACGGGAACATGGACGTGGTCGTGGACGTGGACGTGGACGTGGACAAGGACTTGGACGTGCACGTGGACGTGGACGTGGGCGTGGACATGGACGTGGACGTGGACGTGAACGTGTTCGTGGACGTGGACGTGGACGTGGACGTGGATTTGGATGTGGACGTGGATTTGGACGTGGACGTGGACATGGACGTGGACCTGGACGTGGACATGGATGTGGACGTGGACGTGCACGTGGACGTGGACGTGGACGATGACGTGGACGTGGACTTGGACGTGGACGTGCACGTGGACGTGGACTTAGACGTGGACGTGGTCGTGGACGTGGACGTGGACGTGGACTTGGACGTGGTCGTGGACATGGACGTGGACGTCGACATGGCCATGGACGTGGACATGGTCGTGGACGTGGACGTGGACGTAGACGTGGACATGGACGTGGTCGTGGACGAGGACGTGGACGTGGACGTGGACGTGGACGTGGACGTGGACCTGGACATGGACGTGGACGTGGACGTGGTCGTGGACGTGGACGTGGTCGTGGACGTGGACGTGGACGTAGTCGTGGACGTGGACGTGGACGTGGACGTGGTCGTGGACGTGGACGTGGACGTGGACGTGGACGTGGAAGTGGACGTGGTCGTGGACGTGGACGTGGTCGTGGACGTGGACCTGGACGTGGACGTGGACGTGGACGTGGAGGACGTGGACGTGGACGTGGTCGTGGACGTGGACGTGGACGTGGACGTGGAGGACGTGGACGTGGACTTGGAGGACGTGGATGTGGACGTGGACCTGGACGTGGACGTGGACGTCTACGTAGACGTGGTCGTGGACGTGGACGTGGCATGGACGTGGACGTGGACGTGGACGGACATGGACGTGGATGTGGAGGACGTGGACGTGGACGTGGTCGTGGACGTGGACGTGGACCTGGACGTGGACGTGGGCTTGGACGTGGACGTGGACGTGGACGTGGACGTGGTCATGGACGTGGACGTGGCAAGGTCGTGGACATGGACGTGGACGTGGACTTGGACGTGGACGTGGACGTGGACGTGGACGTGGAGGTGGTCTTGGACGTGGACGTGGTCATGGACGTGGACGTGGACGTGGACGTGGAAGTGGACGTCGACGTGGACGTCGACGTGGACGTGGACGTGGACATAGACGTGGTCGTGGATGTGGACCTGGACGTGGACGTGGACGTGGACATGGAGGACGTGGACGTGGACGTGGACGTGGTCGTGGACGTGGACGTAGACGTGGACGTGGAGGACGTGGACGTGGACGTGGAGGACGTGGACGTGGACGTGGACCTGGAGGACGTGGACGTGGACGTGGACGTGGACGTCGACGTGGACCGGGACGTGGACGTGGACTTGGACGTGGACGTGGACGTGGACGTGGTTGTGGACGTGGACGTGGACGTGGACGTGGACCTGAACGTGGACGTGGACTCGGACGTGGACGTGGACTTGGACTTGGACGTGGACGTGGACATGGACCTGGACGTGGTCGTGGACGTGGACGTGGAAAGGTCGTGGACGTGGACGTGGACGTGGACATGGACGTGGACGTAGACCTGGACGTGGACGTGGACGTGGACGTGGACCTGGACGTGGACGTGGACGTGGTCGTGGACGTGGACGTGGTTGTGTACGTGGACGTGGACGTGGTCATGGACGTGGTCGTGGACGTGGTCGTGGACGTGGACGTGGACGTAGACGTGGAGGCGGACGTGGACGTGGACATAGACGTGGACGTGGTCGTGGACGTGGACGTGGACGTGGTCGTGGACGTGGACTAAGACGTGGACGTGGACGTGGTCGTGGACATGGACGTGGACGTGGACGTGGTCGTGGACGTGGACGTGGACCTGGACGTGGACCGGGACGTGGACGTGGACGTGGTCGTGGACGTCGACGTGGACGTGGACGTGGTCGTGGACATTAACGTGGATGTGGACGTGGACGTGGACCTGGACGTGGACGTGGACGTGGACCTGGACGTGGACTTGGACGTGGACGTCGACTTAGATGTGGTCGTGGACGTGGATGTGGAGGTTGTCGTGGACGTGGACGTGGTCGTGGACATGGACGTCGACGTGGACGTGGACATGGACCTGGTCGTGGATGTAGACATGAACGTGGTCGTGGACGTGGACGTGGTCGTGGATGTAAACGTAGATGTGGACGTGGGCGTGGACGTGGACGTGGACGTGGATCTGGACGTGGTCGTGGACGTGGTCGTGGACGTGGACGTGGACGTTGACGTGGACGTGGACCTGGACGTGGACGTGGATTTGGACGTGGACGTGGACGTGGACCTGGACGTGGACGTGGATTTGGACGTGGACGTGGTCATGGACGTGGACGTGGACGTGGACGTGGACGAACATGGATGTGGACGTGGACGACGTGGACGTGGACGTGGACGTGGTCGTGGACGTGGACGTGGACGTGGGCTTGGGCTTGGACGTGGACGTGGACGTGGACGTGGACGTGGTCATGGACGTGGACGTGGACGTGGTCGTGGACGTGGACGTGGTCGTGGACGTGGACGTGGACGTGGACGTGGACATGGACATGGACTTGGACGTGGACGTGGACGTGGACAGGACGTGGACGTGGACGTGGTCGTGGACGTGGACATGGACGTGGAAGTCAACGTTGACGTGGACGTGGACGTGGACGTGGTTCTGGACGTGGACCTGGATGTGGACGTGGACGTGGACGTGGAGGACGTGGACGTGGACGTGGACGTGGTCGTCGACGTGGACGTGGACGTGGACGTGGACGTGGAGGACGTGAACGTGGACGTGGAGGACGTGGACGTGGACGTGGACTTGGACGTGGACGTGGACGTCGACGTGCACCTGGCGAGGACGTGGACTTGGACGTGGATGTGGAAGTGGACCTCGTCATGGACGTGGACGTGGACGTGGACGTGGACCTAGACGTGGACGTGGACGTGGACGTGGACGTGGACGTGGACGTGGACGTGGACCTAGACGTGGACGTGGTCGTGGACGTGGATGTGGTCGTGGACGTGGACGTGGACGTGGTCGTGGACGTGGACGTGGACGTGGACCTAGACGTGGACGTGGTCGTGGACGTGGATGTGGACGTGGACGTGGACCTGGACGTGGACTTGGACGTGGACGTGGACGTGGACGTGGTCGTGGACGTGGACGTGGTCGTGTTCGTGGTCGTGGACGTGGACGTGGACCTGGACGTGGACGTGGACTTAGACGTCGACGTGGACGTGGACTTAGACGTCGACGTGGACGTGGTCGTAGACGTGGACGTGGTCGTGGACGTGGACGTGGACGTGGACGTGGTCGTGGACGTGGTCGTGGACGTGGACGTGGTCGTGGACGTGGACGTGGACGTGGTCGTGGACATGGACGTGGACGTGGTCGTGGTCGTGAACGTGGACGTGGACGTGGTCGTGGACGTGGACGTGGAGGTGGACGTGGACGTGGACGTAAACGTGGACGTGGACGTGGAGGTGGACGTGGTCGTGGACGTAAACGTGGACGTGGTCGTGGACGTGGACGTGGACGTGGACGTGGACTTGGACGTGGACGTGGACGTGGACGTGGTCATGGATGTGGACGTGGTCGTGTACGTGGACGTGGACGTGGACATGGACGTGAACGTGGTCGTGGACATGGTCGTGGACGTGGACGTAGACGTGGACGTGGACAAGGACGTGGACGTGGACGTGGACGTGGTCGTGGACGTGGACGTGGTCATGTACGTGGACGTGGACGTGAACGTGGGTGTGGACATGGTCGTGGACGTGGACGTAGACGTGGACGTGGACGTGGACGTGGTCGTGGACGTGGACGTGGACTTGGACGTGGACGTGGACGTGGTCGTCGACATGGACGTGGACGTGGACGTGGTCGTGGACGTGGACGTGGACCTGGACGTGGACCTGGACGTGGACGTGGACGTGGTCTTGGACGTCGACGTGGACGTAAACGTGGTCGTGGACGTTAACGTGGATGTGGACGTGGACGTGGACCTGGACGTGGACGTGGACGTGGACCTGGACGTGGACTTGGACGTGGACGTGGACTTAGATGTGGTCGTGGACGTGGACGTGGACGTTGTCGTGGACGTGGACGTGGACGTGGTCTTGGACGTGGTCGTGGACGTGGTCGTGGACGTGGACGTGGTCGTGGACGTGGTTGTGGACGTGGACGTGGTCGTGGACGTGGACGTGGACCTGGACGTGGACGTGGACTTAGACGTGGCATGGACGTGGACGTGGTCGTAGACGTGGACGTGGACGTGGACGTAGTCGTGGAGGTGGTTGTGGACGTGGACGTGGACGTGGACGTGGACGTGGATGTGGACTTAGACATGGACGTGGACGTGGACGTGGTCGTAGACGTGGACGTGGACGTGGACGTGGTCGTGGACGTGGTCGTGGACGTGGACGTGGACGTGGTTGTGGACGTGGTTGTGGACGTGGACGTGGTCGTGGACGTGGACGTGGACGTGGACCTGGACGTGGACGTGGACTTAGACGTGGACGTGGACGTGGTCGTGGTCGTGGACGTGGACGTGGTCGTGGACGTGGTCGTAGACGTGGACGTGGACGTGGACGTGGACCTGGACCTGGACGTGGACGTGGACGTGGACATGGACGTGGACCTGGACGTGGTCGTGGACGTGGTCGTGGATGTGGACGTGGATGTCGACGTGGACGTGGACGTGGACGTTGACGTGGACGTGGACGTGGACGTGGTCGTGGACGTGGACGTGGACGTGGACCTGGACGTGGACGTGGATTTGGACGTGGACGTGGACGTGGATGTGGACGTGGACTTGGACGTGGACATGGACGTGGACGTGAACGTGGACGTGGTCGTGGACGTGGCAAGGACGTGGACGTGGACGTGGAGGACGTGGACGTGGACGTGGAGGACGTGGACGTGGACGGGGACGTTGACGTGGATGTGGACGTGGACGTGGACGTGGTCGTGGACGTGGACGCGGTCGTGGACGTGGACGTAGACGTGGACATGGACGTGGACGTGGATGTGGTGGACGTGGACGTGGACCTAGACGTGAACGTGGTCGTGGACGTGGACGTGGACGTGGTCGTGGACGTGGACGTGGTCGTGGACGTGGACGTGGATGTGGACGTGGTCGTGGACGTGGACGTGGACGTGGACATGAACCTGGACGTGGACGTGGACGTGGACTTGGACGTGGACGTGAACCTGGACCTGGACCTGGACCTGAACGTGGACCTGGACGTGGACGTGGACGTCGACGTGGGCGTGGATCTGGACGTGGACGTGGACGTGGACGTGGTCGTGGACGTGGACGTGGACGTGGACTTGGACGTGGACGTGGACGTGGACGTGGACGTAGTCGTGGACGTGGAAGTGGACGTGGACGTGGTCGTGGATGTGGACGTGGAGCTGGACCTGGACCTGGACGTGGACTTGGACGTGGACGTGGACGTTGACGTGGAGGACGTGGACGTGGACGTGGAGGACGTGGACGTGGACGTGGAGGACGTGGACGTGGACGTGGCGTGGACGTGGAGGACATTGACGTGGACGTGGAGGACGTGGTCATGGACGAGGACGTGGCCGTGGACGTGGACGTGGTCGTGGACATGGAGGACCTGGACGTGGACGAAGACGTGGACGTGGACGTGGATGGGTCATGGACGTGGACGTGGACGTGGATGTGGACGTGGACGTGGACGTGGACGTGGTCGTGGACGTGGACGTGGACGTGGACGTGGAGGACGTGGACGTGGAGGACGTAGACGTCGACGTGGACCTGGACGTGGACGTGGACGTGGACGTCGACGTGCACCTGGACGTGGACATGGACCTGGACGTGGACGTGGACGTGGACGTGGACCTGGACCTACACGTGGACGTGGACTTGGACGTAGACATGGACTTGGACTTGGACGTGGACGTGGACGTGGTCGTGGACGTGGACGTGGACGTGGACGTAGACATGGACGTGGAAAGGTCGTGGACGTTGACATAGACATAGACGTAGACCTGGACGTGGACGTAGACGTGGACATGGACCTGGACGTGGACGTGGACGTCGATGTGGACGTGGTTGTAGACGTGGACGTAGTCGTGGACGTGGACGTGGACGTGGTCGTGGTCGTGGTCGTGGACATGAACGTGGTCGTGGACGTGGACGTAGACGTGGTCGTGGACGTGGACGTGGACGTGGTCGTGGACGTGGACGTGGACGTGGTCGTGGACGTGGACGTGGACCTGGACGTGGACTTGGACGTGGACGTGGACGTGGACATGGACGTGGTCGTGGACGTGGACGTAGACGTGGTCGTGGACGTGGTCGTGGACGTGGACGTGGATGTGGACGTGGTCGTGGACGTGGACGTGGACCTGGACGTCGACGTGGACTTGGACGTGGACGTGGACGTGGACGTGGACGTGGACGTGGACGTGGATGTGGACGTGGTCGTGGATGTGGACGTGGACGTGGACGTGGTTGTGGACGTGGACGTGGACGTGGTCGTAGACGTGGACGTGGACGTGGACGTGGACGTGGACGTGGACGTGGACGTGGACATGGACGTGGACGTGGTCGTGGTCGTGAACGTGGACGTGGACGTGGTCCTGGACGTGGACGTGGACGTGGACGTGGACGTGGTCGTGGACGTGGACGTGGACGTGGGCGTGGTCGTGGACGTGAATGTGGATGTGGACTTGGACGTGGACGTGGACGTGGTCGTGGACGTGGACGTGGACGTGGACGTGGTCGTGGACGTGGACGTGGACGTAGA